ATTTGCACTTCATCTTCAGCAGGTAGGAAATCCCTTCCTGAACCCCCCTGTGCAAACTGGAAGCTGTGGAGCTCCTGGATCTGCTGGACTGGGATGGGGTGTAGGGAATGAATCCAGCCTGAGCCTTTTTGGGGTGCAGGTCCCTGTGAGCTCCACCCTGCCCATGACCTCATTACCAACCTTTTTTTTTTTCTTTGTATGTGCCAACCAACCCCCAAACCTGCTATCTCCAACCTGCCTCCCATCTTATCAAGCATCTTCCATCTTCCAAGATACAGGAATTACATCACCCCAGTGGATCAGGAAAGTAGGGCGCATGCTGATGAGGGAGGGAGGGACAAACAGGCAGATTTTATAGGAGTTCCCATACTGTAAAGGGAAAGATTTTCCATGAAAACCCAGCAGGTTTTCAGGTGGTGTTTTACAATCCCTTTTCCCTCTGAGGATGCTGGGACAACAAACCCCCAGCTGAATGAGGTGCCCACCCTGGTGTTTGTGAGGGGAAATTGTTGGAAGAGCAGCTCTCAAACCTCACCAGCTCAATCCCAAGGGAGCTGGAGTTCATCCAGCTGCCCCATTTCGGATTCAGGGGATGGGTTTGCCCATAAATTTGATTTTCATTTCTGTTAAACTGGGCTTTGAGCTCACAAGGACTGGCAGAGGTGCCCAGCCAACTGCAGGGATATTCTTGGGAGCAGAAGGACAAATGTTTGCACTCAAAACGTGTGGGAATCTTTTGAGGGAGAGCTTAGAATTGGAAAGGGATTGAGAGAGGGGGGAAACTGGAGGTTTTTCCTGAACTGAATTAAATAATAAGGAAGATTTCTCAGGGTGTGTGATCCCTTTTCCTCTGTTTATTCCTCTTCAGCTGACACATCAAGCCACGAAGGCTCCAAACCACTCAAAACTGAGCCTGAATTTCACCTGCAAATCAAGAGCAGAAGAGAAAGAAAACGAGAAGAGCACCACGATGAGGTGAAATAATTTTAATGGGAAGGGAAAGAACAAAACTCCTAAAATAAATAACAGCACGAAGGGCACAATTTCAAGGAGACAGAGGTGAATCTGCTCCTGAGGGGCAGCAGGAGCCTACAAGGCCTCCGGGGATGGTTTCACTGCGTGGCTCTTCCGAGGCCTCTTTGTCCTCGTTCCCTGCATCCATATTTTCAGTTCCTGGCTCCTCCTTCTCCGGATCTGTGCTCTTCACCCTCGCTCTCAGCCTCCTGGGAGCACCTGGAGCTGGCTCTGCTGCAGGGATGGATCCAGCGGGAAGCGAACACGTAGGAGCAGCGCCGAGGGCTGCGCTTGGGGAGGGACCTCCCTTTTGGGACGGTGGATGACCCCACACGTGGCTCTGGCTGCGGGATCTCCTCTCTCAGGGACGTCAACGGGGCTGGTTGTCCCCCAGCAGGGCCACCCAGCACGGCCTGCTGAGGGCACGTGGTGATGATGGGACCAGGGAAGGTCACCACGACGGGAGGGGGGTAAATGATGACCCTGGAGGTGGCGCAGGACACCACGCAGGGCTCGCTGCGGCCGGTGGCGACAGCCTGGGGACATTGTGGGTGGCAGGAGGGGAAATTCTGCCCCGGGCAGCGCTCCCCTCCCGAGGACATCGGTGGGAGATGGCGGAGAACCTGCGGAGAGCACGGAGAGAACCAGGGGGATGAAGGAAGGATTCACAACCCACGCCCTGCCCGGACACCCCACCCACGGACCCCTCGCACCTCGGGGGGCTCCTCCTGGCAGGGAGGAGGAGGGGCCACAGCTGGTGAGGGGGGGGGAGAAGGTGGAACTCTTCTCCAAAATAAAAAAAAAAAGGTGGGTTATTGAGATATGGTTAAGGCTGCACGTGGTCCAAATGCACAAATATTATTGTGTTGTATAAATAATATATTATATATATATATTATAATATACATATTATATATATTATATACATAATATATATTATATACATAATATACATATTATATATATTATGTATTATATAATATATAATATATGTAATTTATTTACAGGATTTATGTCTAATATATAGAATATAGAATATAGAAAATATATTATACTAGATATAATATATATTTTATACATTATATAATAATATAGTATACAATGTATATCTACCATATATAATATACTATATTATATATAAATTTATATATTATAAAAACATATAATATATAGTATATAATATCTATATATCTATATAAAATATTTTATAATTTATATTTTATAATTTGTATTTTACATATTATATTTTTATATTTTTATAAGAATATGTAAAATACTAAAATATATAAAATATAATACACAATATAGATCTATATATTTTATATAAATAATTATTGATATATATTTTTATATAATATAAAATATTATATTTTTATATATAAAAATATAAATAATAAGACTCACTGGTAGCTTTGGCAAGCACAGAACTGCTGTTAAACCCCAGCTCTTGGCAAAGTGTTTTCCCCCCAACTTCCCCCCAATTAACTGAGGTCAGAGGGACTTACCAGCTGTCCAGGAAGGAATCCAGGGAAATGGCCAGAGGAGCCCTCAACCCTTGGAGTTTTATAGCCTTTCCTGAACTTCCAGGAAGATGAGCCAAGCTTTATACACGAGGTCCTAATTGCTTTCCAAACAAATCTTCCCACACGTGTAATGCTTCTAATGACTGTAATTATTTTCACGTTGTTTACCTGCATTATTCAGTTTTCTGTGGGAAATCCTGTTACCTGCTCTGGGCTTCACTCTGCGTTAGATTTTTGTAGATTTCCCAAGGATTCAGGTGGATTCTCAGAGCTGAGAGCCCCAGAATCACAGAAGGGTTCAGGTTGGAAGTGTCACGACTTGTTTAACTCTCACTTTTGAGCCCCGTTTTGGGGGGCGATCGCTTCGAATGCAGAAAGAAATGTGTTGTTTAATGAACAGGGAAAAACACCTTGAGTTGTCTGGGCTCGAAAACAACATCCTGTTTATGGAAGCAGCCAAAGCACTTCCATCCAAAAGTGCATATTCCAAAGGTGCCCTTAGCCCTGAGCTGTTTGTCTTGGCTAACGTGCTATTTATATTACATACGATAAAACACTTTGCCTGCATGAACTGCTCATGAATATTTTGGGCATGTTTTGACATTCTTTGTCGTGTGGGAACCTCACGATTGGGGTGATTTTCCCCCATGGTGTCACCAAAAACAAGGCCAAGTTCTCAGAGTTATCCCAAAAGTCCAGCCCCAAACTCCCAGTTCTCAACAGGGCTTATTACCCAAACTCTGTTACTGCAGATTGATGGCAGCTGGGGTGACAATTGTATTTCGTGTCCCTTAGTTCTGTGTGGTTCATGGATCTCTTGGAGGCTCCAAAAGCCATTCCTCATTGTAGCTTCTTCCTTAGAAATGACAGAAGTCTCTTGAAAAATCAGCAGTTCCTGTTTCTGTGCAACTAAACCTGCAGAGCATCCGAATACCCCAAAAGTGGGAACTCCTTTCACAGAATTACAGAATGTGCTGAGCTGGAAAGGACCCACAAGGATCATCCAGTCCAACCCTCAGCCCTGCACAGGATCATCCCCAGGAGTGCCACCCTGTGCCCCAGAGGATCATCCAAACCCTCCTGGTATTCTGGCAGCCTTGGGGCTGTGCCCACTGCCCTGGGGAGCCTGTTCAGTGCCAACCACCCTCTGGGGAAAGAACCTTTCCCTGAGATCCAACCTGAGCCTGCCCTGACACAGCTCCAGCCATTCCCTGGGTGCTGTCCCTGGTCCCCCCAGAGCAGAGCTCAGTCCTGTCCCTCCTCTGCCCTTCCCCAGGAAGTGGGAGTGGATCAAGGGTAGGACTTGATGATCTCAGAGGTCTTTTCCGGGTGGGGATTGAGGTGAATTCCCGAGTGGAATCTTCGTTCCGGGGCCTGACTTGCAGTTCCCGGTAGTGGCCACGAGGCGGCGACACCGCCGCGAGAAGATTTTGGGATCCCCAACTCGGTACCCCCAGAAAAATCTCGGGACATTCCCGGGGGCAAATCCCGCCTGGAAACGGCCGGGAGAGGGAGGGGACAGGGGACAGGAGAGCAAGAGAGCCGTCTTCATGCAAAGACACCCACCCCCCACCACCACCACCCCCCCCGGAATTCCGGCATCTTTTAGTGACTGAGCCTGGTTACCAACGTTAAAATGAATTCTCTTTCTGTGGGGAGCAAGACTCTTCCCAATCCTGGAGGACTCCTGGCTGCACCAATCTCTGTTTTTAGAGGCAAATCTTTCACTTTATTAGGAAAAAAAAAAAAAAAAAGTCTCTAGAAATCCTGCTTGGTCTGTTTGGGGCACTAGAGAGGAAGCAAAGGAGACGGGATGTGACCGAGCTAAGCCTGGATAGATGTCACACTCCTGTCTGAGGGCTGATAACGAGCTCATCACTTTATCCAGACCTCCTAAATATCTCCCTGCACGGCTGCAGCATCTGTTCCCACAAGTAGTAAAACCGTGGTAGTAAATCTACTCCTACAAGTGGGATCCCTGCCCTCATTTTACACAAAGGAGCAGTAGGACAACAGGGAATCGTTTATTTTTCCAGGAATAGGTGTTAGAAAGAGTTTTCAAAGGTGGAAAATAAACCAGGCAGAGAGCAGGAATCCAATTGCAACCTGAGTTTAATGCGATGGTACAACGTGCAAATAGAACTGATCCAATGACAGTAAAAACCCTTCAGGCTGCAAAACGCTGCCCCCAGAGCTGTGTCGGTTTGAGGTTTTCAAAGCCCGAGCACCCGCTCAGAGCTGCTTAACTTCTCCCCAGCACCTCCTCCGGGGCAGGAACAACCGAATTGTGGTCCGAAAAGAAAGGGAATGCACTCTACGGGCACGACAAGGGGCGAAACGAGGGATCGCGACTGGGAGAAGGGAGAAGGGAGGGAAGGAGGGAGGGAAATAACCTCAGCCCTCAGCTACATATCTTGCTGGATTCACAGCTGCCTTCTCAACTGATCTCACTCTCTCTGGCCTTCACCAGAGCCACTTGGAAGCGCAGCGGCTCTTCTTGGGGTGGCTGGAGCGCTTGGCCCCCGCGGCGTGGTGGTGGTGGTGGTGGTGGCCGGGGCGATGGGAGGCGACCCGCGGGTACAGGCACCGCGACTTGCTCAGGTGCTGCGCGGAGGAGCTCTTGGTCTTCGCTCCCTCTTGTGGCAGCAGCAGCGAGCTTTTGGTGGCCGCTTTCTGCGCCGCACGCTCCTTGACCCCTTTCCCCGGGGGGCACTTGGGCGCCTGCGGAGGCTCGGGGGGGCACTTGGAGAGGCGCTGCTCGGCCGGGCACGGCGGGGGTGGCACACACTCCTGCGTGGGGTAGCCCTTGGTGCACCTGTGCTGGGCGTACTCCTGGAAGCAGGACTGGGAGATGACACAGGGCTGCGGGGGGCACTCGGTGACCCCCCTGAGGGGCAGGGAGTAGCCGCTGGTGAGCCCCTGCAGCCGCAGGTCGTGGCCGTAGCAGCGCGCCGAGCCCTTGGAGAGGCGCGGGGACCTCCCCTCGTCCTTGCACGACGCCGAGTACCTGATGCCACACGGCGGGAACCTGAGCCTGCCGGGCTCCGGGCACCTCGGGGCGCACGGCGGGAGGCTCTTGGCCACCCGCCTCTTCTCGGGCCGGGCGGTGTCGCAGGGCTGGCAGCTCGGAGCGGGCACCCCCTCGAGTTTGGCGCGGGGCAGCAGCCGCGCGGCCTCGCAGGGCTCGGGGTACAGCACCACGCACTTCTGCACCAGGGGCTGGCACGGCAGCAGCGAGGCCTGGCTCGCTCCAGGCTGCGGGCACACGTAGGTGAGGGGCTGGGGGCAGCTCTGCCAGCGGGGCATGGGGCTCTTGATGATGCTCAGAGGGTGGCACGTGTTGCTGCAGCCGTCCACCCGCGCCGGGCACTGGCGGATGCTCTCGGTGACGTAGCCGGGCCCTGGCAGGTACAGGTGGTTGTACCTCTCCCCGTAGCAGTGCATGGTGTTAGGAGGCACTCAGACCTGCGAGACACACACCAGAAACACCGACAGGTTGCAGAGGCACCAATGGGTTTTTGTGGGTGAGGGGTCAGAGATTCACCGTGGGTGTGTCCCGGGGACAAACCCCCCCAACCCTGATGGTGACTCAGGAGCAGGCTGGGATTAGCCAGGAGAGGAGCTCATGGCCACACACCCTTCTCTGAAGAGCCCAGAAAACAGTCAGGGACTGCAGCCTGGAGACCTGGGGAGGTTCGTGCTGCCCTTCAATCACCAGCTGCAGTGACAGCCATTCACCGGGACGTGGGGCCTGACCCCGGGGTTTCACCTCCTGAAAACCTCCCTGTCCTCACTGGGCCACCCTTTCCCAGTTTAGGTCCTGCAGCTCCCCAAGCAGCTGAGATGAAAGGCAAGGCCAAATTAATTAAAGGCGTGGCCACACCTGTAATAACACCCAGGTGTGGCCAGGGCCAAACCCCAGCTGAGGTTCCATGACTGAGCTGAGGGCGAGGAGAGGTTTGTGGCCATGTGGAGCTCAGCACGTAGGATCCTGCTGGCCCACAATTCCCAAGGGATCTGTGGCCTGGCTCACAGTTTGCAGGTCGTGCAGTCCCAGCTTTGTTTCGTCGTGTGCAAGGAGGGAAAAGGAAAGGGAATAAAACCAGGACTGGTTTAAAGTGTTTGGTGGTACCAAAGGAGGGAAGGAGCCGGTGCTACCTCATCAAATGGATAGTTGGGGTTGGGAGGGAGCTCTGGAGGTCATCAAACCACCTGCCAGGGTAGGGTGACACAGAGCAGGGTTTGGAACATCTCCAGCTTGGCTGAGTTGAGGGAATTACACCCCTTAAAGCAGCCCCAGTCCTGCCCCAAGGTCACCCCGAGCCAGAGTGCCCTGCTTTGGTTCTGGTAACCCAAATTCCTGCTGTTCAAAGCCCTGTGTGGCAGCTCTGATGCCCAAACCTCCTCCTGGAAGGCCCTGGAGGAGTCCAGCTGAGGCCACATCCATGAGGGAAGAACCAGGAGGCACCAGCTGGAGCTCCACACTCTGCTCCTGTGAAACCCCTCACTGTGCCTCAGCCCTGGGAGTTGTAGGAGAAGCCATCCCACTTCCCTGCTCCGGAAAACACAGTTTTAGGTGGTTTTCTGAGGTTTCAAATGGATTGTTTTGAGCACAACAGGCACAGGAACCGCTGAGACTGAAAGGTGGTCTGATCAAAAAATGGATTTTATCATTTCAACACAGTTTGGAGAGAAGGTGATGTAATTAAATCACTACATTTCCTGACAATTCCTGGTTCTACCTGTAATTACAGAAGGGGTCCTGTCTTCCCAAATCCTATCACAGCGTGACTCCCAGCCATAACAATGCTGTGTGCTGGGATCATTAGGAAAACTTGGTATCCCTACAATTAAAACAATCATTGTCTAATAAAAACCCGATGAAAAACAATGGCAGCAATGACACACAGGGTGCTCGAGGATCTGCTGATGCTCCTCAAGATAAAAAGCTTATAAAGTAGGGGGGGGGGGTCATTTGCATCTCAGACTTCTTTTTGTCATATTTAGAAATTTTAACGCCTTCAAATTTCTCCAAAGAGCTGAATTTCACGTCAGCACTGCACTAGACCAGCTTCTTGCTATTTTCAGGGAATAATTGCTGTGTTCAAGCTCCATAAACCAGGAAATTTCTCTGTGCCACTTCCTTTAGAGGAGCCACCTTTTCACTTGCAACCTCCCACCTGAGCCCTGACTTCACGGAGTCAACATCCTCCTCTGGGTTAGAACCACCAGAAAGCCTGGAAAAGCCCTCAAATCCCACTCCTGACTTCACAATCCGCCTGGAAGAGCTTTCCCAATATTCCTCAGAGTCCAGCAAGGAGCTGCCCCAGCTGGCAGAGCCTCGCTGGAAGGGGCAGCATCCCCCCCAAGAGCTGCTTCTCCACCAGGCACAAGGCAAGGGTGACCTCCACCTTCTCCAGCCACCCAGGAATCAGAGAGCATTTCAGGAGCTCCCTTGGAAAGACCAGACTTACCCACTTCATGAGAGGGGAAGGACGGGAGAGAAGTGCCTGGGAAAGACCCGGGACGGCCGAGCCTTTATACAGTGACCAAGTGCCCCAGGGGACTGAGGTGGTTTGGTTGGGTGATGCTCTAATTGCCTGCCAGTCCTGGGTGAGCCACGTGCAGCTTTGTGCTGGTGGGGCAGCTGGGACACCGGGATCACCATCCCCCAACAGGGATCCTGAGCTGAGGGGCTGCACCAACAAAACCCCCTGGAAGGTTGAGGACACCCCATAGAGGGGCTGCTCGTGGTGGCCCATCGTGGTAACCCAAAACATCGCTGCCTGCCCCTGGCAATTCCAGCTGAAACGCCCCTTCCCACCTAAAAATAGGGAGCAGCCAAGGGGATACTCAAGGAAACTCCTCATTTCCCTGGGAGCTTCAGGCAGAAACCCCTTTTGGAGCCTTTGAAAACACCGTCCAGGAAGGACTCGGCTCTCGCAGCCCATAATTACCAGGGCACTTCCTTCGGGCTTCCACAGGGAACCCAGGGAAGAGAGGGATCATTAGGGCTGAGAAGGCCTTGGGCTGAGGGCAGGACAGCTCCTAAAAATGCCCTGTCACAAAGGGAACCAGCAAAGGGGATAACCTGCCCAAAGAGGTGACGCTTTTCCGGCACAATGAGGAAGGGACGAGCTCTGGGGTGGCCGGAGGAGAAGCAGCTCCACCAAACCAGTGCCCTAACAACAACAACAACAACAACAAAAATCCCATTTCCTGCTCTGCTGCACATTCCCTGCACCAGTCATCCCTCCTTTTGTTCCCTGTTTATGCCACGGAGGAACCCAGGGGAAAATTAGCAGTGGCGGGAGAGCCGACAGGGCAGAGTCATAAATGCAGGAGGGAAGGCTCTGGAATTCTTGTTTCCCTTTAATATGAATCTCACAGCTATAAATTGGGTTCCAGCACGCTGGGAATTCAGGTGAGGTCCCACAACAGAAATAAAAAGAGAGGGAATAATCACCAGAATCACGCCCTGAGCTGGAAGAGACCCACAAGGATCGTCGAGTCCAACTCCTGGACACCCCGAAATGCCACCACGAGCCTGAGAGTTGCCCAAACCTTCCTGGAGCTCTGGCAGCTTTGGGGCTGTGCCCACTGCCCTGGGGGAGCCTGTTCAGTGCCCAACCACCCCCTGGGGGAAGAACCTTGTCCTAATATCCAACCCTGAACGTCCCCTGAGGCAAAATAAGTGAATTTTCAAGGGAGCAGTGGAAAATCCCTCATCAGTATGAAGCCCCAGGATGCTGCTGGTTTGCCTTCCCTTGGAGGCTGTTAAATGATCTCTCAGGGATGTGGTTTATTGGTGGGAATGGGCAGTGCTACGTTGCCAGCTGGACCCCATGACCTGAAAGGTCTTTAACTTGGAGAATTCCATGATTTGAAGTGGAATATTGAGCTCTGGTTTATGAACCACGAGCTAAATTTCCTATTCTTTTTTTTCCCCCCCCCCTCTCCCAGAAAATCCAAAAGCCCAAAGGCAGCTTTGCTATCTGCATTTGGTTGTTTGCACTTCTGACTTTCCAGCTTCACCATCAGGGGAAATAATGGGGACCACGTGCTTGTTTTCCAGGTTAATCCCAACATTCCAAGAGCTGAAGGGAGGGACACCGAAGACAAAGCCTGACTCCAACCTGGATCCCTCTAACTTTTATTGTGTGTCCCTCCCCTGAACCACAAGGCCCTTTTTAATGGTAAATGATCCGACCTCAGATTTTAGGAGCCCAGCTGGCGTCAGGGAGCAGATTAATGCAGTTTTTATGAGCTCCACCAGTCCAATTCCAGGGGAAGCTCTGGATTAAGTGGCCCTCAAGTAACACCAACCCCCAGTTTAGAGTTTGCAGCTGCAGCAGCAGAGCATCCACCCCGTGATACCATCGGGACCTCTCATCCCAACAGCCTTAATTAACATCTCTTTGGTCCTTTCATCTCCAGGAGACTCCTAGAGCCACAGAGGGCATGGTGGTGGGGGGAGAGGAGAGGGGAGGGTGTTATTATTCCTAATTAAGCACAGGGAAAACTTGAGGCACTGCTGAGTCAGAGCCAGGGGCAGAACCACAGACTCCACCCCAGGCAGCTCCCAAACCGTGCCTGTGACTGCTGAGGTGGGACAGGAGACCCTGTCCAACCTTTCTCAAGGCTTTCCCAAGGGTCATCTGGGCTCTGGGTCCTTTGGGAAAAGCCACAAAGCCCCTGGAGATGGGACAGCTCCTGCAAGGGTCACAGCTTTGCTCGTGAACAGGCTGGGAGAGCCAGGAATGTTCAGCCCGGAGAGGAGAAGGTTGTGTGGACACCTCAGAGCACCTTCCAGGGTCTGAAGGGGCTGCAGGGAAGCTGGAGAGGGGATGTTCATCAGGAACTGGGGTGACAGCACAAGGGGGGATGTGTTCACACTGACAGAGAGAGGAGATTTAAGCTGGATATTAGGGAGAAATTCCTGAATGCCCTGGCACAGCTTGCCCAAGAGAAGCTGTGGCTGCCCCTTTATCCCTGGAAGTGTCCAAGGCCAGGCTGGAGCAACCTGGGCTAGTGGGAGGTGTCCCTGCCCATGGCAAGGGGTGGATTGAGCTGATCTTCCAACCCAAACCATTTCCAGGATTTTATTTCTTGTTTTCAAAGGGGGCCACAACCCCCTGGTCCGTGAGAACCTCCCAAGCCCCTGTTGGTGTGAGGAGCTCCACGGTCACTTCTGCTCTTCCCCCTGCCCTTGTGGGCCAAAGCATCCCCAACCAACCACTCAGGAGAAGGTGGCCAAGGGATCTGCTCCTCCAGGAACCCCGGGGGAAGCAGCCAGGTGCCACCACAAGGTCACTGAGCCGGGGTGGAGCAGAGCAAGATGCAGGACAAGCGTCCTGGCCTGGGTCACACCCTCCTCTTCCTCTTGCAACACTTGTTTTCACCCTCCAAACACCCGTGAGCCACTTGGTGTGAGCTCATTTTCCTAATGATAGGGCACCTTGCAGGGTTTGTGTCTTTTTTTTTCTTTTTTTTTTCAGACAGGACTTCACCCTGCTTAATAAAAAAACAACCCCCAGGAGGCAGCAAGAGACGATTTTTTTAATCCGAGCTCAGACAACTCTATTTATTTAAGCCTCTATATATGTAAATATACATATACATGTGTATAAATAAAGTTTATTTTCAACCCAGTGAAGAGTGCACGTCTTCAAGCGGCATAAAGAGCATAATTAACTGCTTTTATAGCTTAAACATTCAATAAAACAGTGGTGCTGCAACTTGCAGCGTTATTTCAAAGACTTGCTTTTGTTTCCAGCTGTGGGGTTTGATTTCCAGAACTCTCTGGGCTGCCCCTGCCCGAGCAGGGAGGTTGGACCTTCACTGGTCCCTTCCAGGGAGATTCTTGCACCTTTTTTGCTTCCCAGACCCACCTTGGGCTCCCAAATAAGAACCAGCTGCTCTGGAGAACTCGCAGCCTCGTGGGATCCAACTGAACCTGAATGCTGAGTGCCAGTTCCAGGATTAAACTTGGAGCTGGGCATGGGCCAGCCCTCCACCAGCAGCACTTCCAGCTGGTACTGCCATGATCTGGACTCCTTAGACATTTCTCTTTCTTTAATTCTTTTTTTTTTTTTTTTTTTTTTGCTTTAAAATCACCATTTATTCAAGTTTTAGGTGAGAATTTAATCCCATCCCACCAACCCTTGCCTTGCAGCAGATTAAGGTACGATCCACAGGCAGCAGGAGAGCAGCCATGGAGATGGGATCACACCCAAGCCCAGCTGAGCTCCAGGGGGAAGTGTTGGAAAACATGGATAAAGCAGATTGAAGAGACAGGAGATAAATAACTCCCCATCCCAAAGCTGGACCTCACCCTTTTCCAGGGATTTGCCTTCCCCTGCTCCTTTTCACCAGGGCCACTTGGGAGCTGAGACGTATTTTTTGCAGTGACTGGAGATTTTTACCCCACCTGACTGATAATGCTGCTGAAGGACACAGCTGGTGGCACTTTGCTGAGGGACACACTTGGTGGCACTTTGCTGCTGGGGGACACACTTGGTCACACTCTGATAACAGGCACACTTGGTGGCACTTTGCTGAGGGACATAAGCTGTCCCAGACTGCTGTGGGACACACTTGGTGGCACTTTGCTGAGGGACACACTTGGTCACACTCTGATAAGGAACACACTTGGTGGCACTTTGCTGAGGGACACACTTGGTGGCACTTTGCTGAGGGACACACTTGGTGGCACTTTGCTGCTGAGGGACACACTTGGTCACGCTCTGATAAGGGACATAAGTTGTCCCAGACTGCTGAGGGACACACTTGGTCACACTCTGGTAACAGGCACACTTGGTGGCACTTTGCTGAGGGACACATTTGGTCATGCTCTGGCAAGGGACACACTTGGTGGCACTTTGCTGAGGGACACACTTGGTGGCACTTTGCTGCTGTGGGACACACTTGGTCACGCTCTGATAAGGGACATAAGTTATCCCAGACTGCTGTGGGACACTCTTGGCCACACTCTGGTAAGGGACACACTTGGTGGCACTTTGCTGAGGGACACATTTGGTCACACTCTGATAACAGGCACACTTGGTGGCACTTTGCTGAGGGACACACTTGGTCACGCTCTGGTAAGGGACACACTGGGTGGCACTTTGCTGCTGAGGGACACACTGGGTGGCACTTTGCTGTGGGACACACTGGGTGACACGTTGTTGCTGTGGGACACACTTGGTGACGCGTTGTTGTTGTTGCTGCTGCTGCTGCTGCTGCTGCTGCTGCTGGGGACACAAATGGAGGCACAGCCGGTGGCACTCTGCTGGGGGACACACTTGGTCACACACCTGGAGGCCCACTGCTGGGGCACGTAGGAGGAGGTGACACTTTGCTGGGGGAGGCAGGAGGAGGTGACACTTTGCTGGGGGATGCAGGAGGTGGTGGCACTTTGCTGGGGGACCCGCGAGGTCACGTACCGGTACGCCACCCCCTTGGCCGCCCGCTGCTGGGGGACACAGGTGGTGACGCACCTGGGCACGCCCTGCTGGGGGCACAGGGTGGTCACACACTGCTGGGGGACGCACCTGGTGGCCCCCTGGTGCTGAGGGACCCCCTTGGCGCCGCAGGGACGCCGAGGCACGCAGGTGGTGACGCAGCGGGGCGCGCTCTGCTGCAGGGGCACGGCGGCGGGGGACACTGCTGGGTCACCCCCTGGTGCTGTGGCACGCACTGGGTCACCCCCCGCTGCTGTGGCACGCACTGGGTCACCCCCTGGTGCTGGCACACGCCGGTCACGCCCGTGGGCACGCACGTTGTCACACACCGAGGCTGCTGCAGGACGCGCTGGGACAGGGGCGGGCGCTGGGTCACGGTGCCAGCCGGGCACTGAGGGGGCACCCGCAGCTGCTGGGGCACACACTGGGTCACCCCCTGGTGCTGGCAGATGCTGGAGGGCAGGAGGTGCTGCTGGGAGATGCTGGAGGGCGGGAGGTGCTGCTGGGAGATGCTGGAGGGCAGGAGGTGCTGGCGGGTGACGCTCTGGGCGATGCACGGCGTGGAGTGCCAGGCGGGCGCTGCGGGGGCTCTGCCGGGGTGCAGCGTGGGCAGGGGGGCCTGGTGGGCTGGAGGGAGGCACTGGTAGCACGACATCTTGGTGGGGGTGGGGGTGGTGGGGGGGTTGGCAGGGCTGGAATCACAGAGTGGCAGGATCAGTCACAAAATCACAAAATCACAGTCACAAAATCACAGTCACAAAGTCACAATTACAGAATCTGCTGAGCTGGAAGGGACCCACAAGGATCATCCAGTCCAGCTCCCACCCCTGCAAAGACCCATCCCCAAGAGTCCCACCCTGTGCCCCAGAGGATCATCCAAACCCTCCTGGAGCTCTGGCAGCCTTGGGGCTGTGCCCACTGCCCTGGGGAGCCTGTTCAGTGCCAACCACCCTCTGGGGGAAGAACCTTTCCTGAGATCCAACCTGAGCCTGCCCTGGCACAGCTCCAGCCATTCCCTGCCCACACAGAGAAAAATCAGTGCCTGCTCCTCCTCTTCCCCTCACAGGAATGACACGGTGAGGGGTTGGAATGAGATGATCTTTAAGGTCCCTCCCAGCCCAAACCATTCCATGACTCTGTGACACATCAGGAGGCAGAGCCTTTAGACAGTTGAGTTCCTCACGGTCCTGCTGCTGCCAGCACCTCAGAGGCACCTCCCAGCTCTGCCACAACCCCCCCACCAGGAGCAGCTGAGGACCAAACACCTCCTTTTTAACTCTGAGACAACACAGCACTGAAGCCAAAGAGGAGGGGGAAAGTCAGAGACACTTCACACTGAACATCTCACCAACTGCAACTCCCTCCCATCATCTGGAGCTTCCTGGGGGGGAGAACTGATCTTGGAGGTCAGCACAGAAATAATCGACCTCAGGGCTGCCTTTCAATCCATAAATTAAGCCCCCTGTGCCCCCTCCCCTCTTTTGGTTGGCAGCTCCTGGTGACGATCTGAGAAAAGGCCCGACCCAGCAAGAGGCTCTGAATCACATCTGTGGCCACATCTGCCCCAGCAGGAGAGGCAAAGGGCACCCAAAGCACCTCTGTCCCATCACAGGCAGGCAGAGGTTCCCAGCTCAGCCCCAGCATCACCAAGTTCACGCTCATTAAGGAAGGAAAGCTTATTAAAGGGTAATGATAGCCCAGCTGAGCTCACAGCCCGGCTGGAATTCCAAACACACACAAATTCCCTGGTGCACCAAAGCTGCCAGGGCTGTTGTCAGGCACCCCAAAAAATCAAACCACAGCAGCAGCCCCCAAATAATGCAAAGAAACTTCCCTCACACCTTTCAGGAGTGTCTGAACATCAGCAAGCACTGAGAGTCCTCTCGCTCTCCGACACAGCCAGCCCAACCAGTTAGTTTTAAAAGCTTTTTTCCCAAGTAGCATTTTTTTATATGTTAAAAAAAAAAACAGAAATAAATCTGCATTTCACAGTCAGAGAGTCCCAGAATGGTTTGGGGACCTTACAGCCTATCCCATTCCAACCCTCTTGCCACGGACAGGACACTTTTCACTTAGACCAGCTTGCTCCAAGCCCCCATCCAACCTGGCTTTAAACACTTCCAGAGATGGGGGGCAGCCAAATGAGCAACCCAATCCAGTGCCTCCTCCCTGTTGTCACAGTAAAGAAATCCCTTCCTTGCATCCCAAATCCAGCAGCCACAGAGCACCCAGACTTACCCAGCTCCCGGTGAGAGCAGCTTGGTGATGTGACCGGTGAGTCCCAGCGGCAGCAGAGCTTTTATAGGGACATCAAACGTGCCTTGGAGGTGTGAGGTCCCCACACAGGTCCCATTAACACCCAGGCAGAAGCTGCCCCCGTGTGCAACTCCTGCAAGTGAGTAGCATCGACACACTCATCATCCCTGACAATGAGTAGCTGGATGTCAGCTTCCCAGAGTAAGAGTAATTACCTGCAGGATAATAATCCTCCCTGGCATGGGAAGACTGAATGGCATTTGGAGAAGCAGCAGCAGCAACAGCAGCAGTAGCAGCCCCTGCCTCGGGGGTTTTGGGAGTGCACCCAAAAATAGGGGTGGTTTTCCCAAGCTCTCTCTGGATTCCCAGTTTTTGGGAGCGTCCTGGTGGTCCCATGGGAAGGGGGGTGTCCCAACAAGGATCATCCTGGCCCTGCACAGGCCCATCTCTCCAGCTCCCAGGCTGGAGCTGGCAGAGCTTCTCATCCACCCCACCAAGCCCAGCAGGTGCTGGTTGTGTTTGGGCACCGGAGGGAAAACAGGAGCTCCTTGTGGAGCTCAAACCCCCTCCTTGTTCTCATCAAGAGAGATGAGCATCCATCTCCAGCCCTGGGAACACCCAGCTCTTGGTGTCCCGCCATTCCTGTGATTCCCAAGGCAGTCACCTGTTATCAGGCAACGGGAATAAACCATCCAGTGACTCTCAGATGATGGAAACACCTCGGGATGCAGCCCTGGCCCAGCCAGCTCAGCTGGCACAGCTGTCCCTGGCACCACCACGGGTGACAAAAAGCCCTCAGGAGCAGATAAACTTCCTCCAGTGCCACGTGGGACTTTCTCACTCCTTATCTCAGCTTCTTACCTCACAGAGATCACATTAAAAACAGGAGATTAATTTGGGGGGGAGTCACTGAAGAGCTGATCAAATCCCTGCAGCTGCACTTTGGTCACTCGAAACGGGCCCCAAAAAGGGACAATTTCTTGTGAGAGGGACCAGCTCAGCCCCACTCACTGAGCTGAAACCCACGCCCAGGGGAGCAGGTCCTGAGTATTTTTTATTAAAAAATGTGGTTTCTTGTGAGCTGGAGAAGCAGCTCCACCCAGGTGGTTTTTGTGGCAAAGGGAAAGCTCTGTGAATAATTTTGTAGTGAAAAGGAATAAGGAAGTTCAGGAATTCCTGGGCAATGATGTCCCACATGGGGCTAGAATCAGAAAGAGGTGAAATGGTCCCTTTACCAAAGGCTTTTCCAGCAGGAATGAAGCCTTCCTGGTCAGCACTGGGTTCATCTCCACCTGAACCACAAAAAGAAAATGGGGCTTTGTTGTGGCACCTCTCCTGCAGTAATTGCTTCTTTGATCCAAAGCCAGAACTCCTGGGTGCTTCTCAGCTCCAAAGGTTTTGGGTGTGATCCTCCCCGTTAAACCAAAGCGAGATGTTCACATTTTCTACTGCTTTTATTCCACTCTGGGTCCTGGCAGGTGCTGCCCAAACCTTGAAATAAATCCTAATTTACCCCTGATTCGACTAAAAAAACCACATGTGGTGAAAACCCATCCTGCCTGACTTATTGAGAGCCCAGCTGAACTCTTGATTTTTTGGATCCCAACGGTGCCTTTCATGTTATGACCCAGAAATCAGAGAACCCTGAAATGGTTTGGGTTTGGAAGAGACCTCAAAGATCATCCAGATCGTGCTCCAGGCCCCGTCCAACCTGGCCTTGGACACTCCCAGGGATGGGAAAACCATTCCAGGGCCTCCCCACCCTCACAGGGAAGGATTTCTCCTGATTTTATTTCTCTGATTCCTCTTGCTCTTTGCAACTCCCTGTCATAGAGAGGAAAAGAGGGTCAGCCAGGGCTGTGGCACTGAGAAGTCCAGAGGGAAGCTGAAAAACACCCTGGAGGAGATGCCAGGTGAGACATCAGGGAATCCAGCACTTTTTAATAAGGCAGGAATGCAAAGGGGGGAGCCCTGACACGGTGCAGCAATTTGGGAGTGTGAGCCAAAGCAGCAGGAATGCAAAGCTCCCTGACTGCTTCAAATATAGAGAGCTGGCAGGAGAACAAGGCAGTCAAAAGGAGATAGAAGGGGTGGGGAAAAAGATAAGGTAAATTGCCTGGATGTAATCTAGGATATTGGACTGAAAGCTCAAGTGAGGGGAAATTAGTCCTGCCCCCATTAAGGGTAAAAAAACCAACAAAACAAACCAAAGCAATAAATTAAGGAAAGAGCTGCAACGCAGGAGGGAGCTCCAGAGGGGAGTTAAGCTCTAAAACTGCCTGGGCAGCCCCTGCCAAGGCCTGACCACCCTTTCCAGGAGGAAATTCCTCCTCATGCCCAACCTGACCCTCCCCTGGCACAGCTTGAGGCCGTTTCCCCCTTGTCCTGTGTCATTACCTGGGAGCAAATCCTGAGCCTCTCCCAGCTCCCCCTCCTGTCAGGGAATTCCAGAGCCACAAGGTCCCCTCTGAGCCTCCTTTTCTCCAGGCTGAGCCCCTCCAGCTCCCTCAGGAGCTTCTCCAGCCCCTTCTCCTGCTGCTCCAGCTCCGTTCCCTTCCTTGACCACCCTCGATGTCTCTTCTTGCCCCGAGAATTGGACACGGCTCTCGAGCTCCACAAACCACTAGAGCGCAGCATTGGCCCGCAAATCACCTCCAGAACCAGCTGCTGGTGGCTGAGAAACCTCCTCCAGATGTTCTTTCTCCCTAGTGGAAGATGTCCCTGCCCCCTTCCACTTGATGGGGTGGGCTTGATGATCTCTAAGGTCCCTTCCAGCCCAAACCACGCCACGATTCTCGGACTCTTGGGCACGGAAAACACGCGTCCGAAGAGCAGCTGGGCTGCACTTGGTGTTCTTCACAGCCCGGTCAGTCCATCCCTGCAGGGCACGAAGGTGTGGGCAGGGAGGGCAGGGCAGGGAACAAAAGGAAACGCGAGAGAACGAGCAGAGATCCCATTTTCAGCCTATCAGACGTGTAATTAGAGAGCTGCAAACGAGCTGCAGATAATAAAACTTCACGTGTTATTAGCAGTAAATGCGCCATTTCAGTGATTTCACAGCACTGAAGGCAAAACACTGACTCTGACTGTGCATGAGAATGAAATGCTCCTCACTTGAGGACTCCTTCTTGCTTAATTCTGAGAGGGTTTTATTACTTAACGAACTCTTGTTTTCTGCAATTAGCAGCCCCGCAGAGCTCTTTGTTCTGGTTGCTTGCAGGCTTAGTGGAGGTCAATCTCTGCAGAAAATCTGGCTATAGGGTCATTACAGCCCTGATGACTTTTCAAATGCCCAAGCTGAGCTGTTTCGACACAACTTTCTCCCTCCCCAGCACCCACATCCATTAACTCCATCCATCCATTAGCTGGGCTCCCAGTGGGAGAGAAAACCTGGGAGCT